CACACACACACACACACACACACACACACACACACACACACACACACACAGCGGAAACATTTATAAATCTTTTGTGTATAATGGGATCCAATTCGGGCACCCTACTTGCTAAGCCCCTGGTCTCTTCCCATACATGGTGGGGGAGGCAGACAAAGTGGGAAGGTACTTTTTAGGTTGATTCAGATTTAATTTCCCACATGCAGTGTTAGCAGAATCAAGGAGTGAATGGCCAGTGAGATACAGCCAAGAGCCTGGTGGGAACAATTTCCTTGCACCTTATGAAAAGCGAAATAGCCTCCTCATTGATTGCTCTGATTACCTTTGTGAATACAAGCAATTCATAGGTTACTCTGCCCTCTGTTTTTCCCTGGCTAAAAGCTCATACTCCTCATGGTGCATGTGAAAAATGTTTGCTAGGTCAACATAACATCTTAAATGGTGTCTCAAGGATTAAAAAAATCAGTCAGCGTTTTGTTCATGTGTGTCTTAATAGATCCCATTTCCAAAATTAAATGTTTGGTTGACTTCTACTGTTTTTCTTTAACTGCTAACATTGAAAACATAAGCAAATGCAGTCACAGTTTGAGGTCCCTTGAAGGAAAGGCCCTCCAGGCTGGAAAGAATTCTTTTCTTTGAACTGGAATCTCACTCGCGTGAGTAATAGAAGCACCATCATGCAGGCCTTCTCCTCTGCGGCCCGTGCTATGCGTTCTGGGCGGGCTAGAATAAAAGCGGGCTTCGTTCTGTTGCTAATGTGTGTGGTTTATCACATTTCATATCTCATCTCACATGGTTCAGTGTGTCCATCAGCAAAATTTCACAAAATAACAAATCCAGCCCAAATCCAGTGGTTAAGCCATGTTCTCACTGCTCTGGTCCCTGGTCATGTTTGCTTATTTGATTTGATTACAAAAGAGCAAATCAATAAAATGCTACCACCAGAAAAATCCAAGCTGTGCCTGCCCAGTAAACGAATCCATTCCATCGCCAGAAAACATAGCACACCGTCTGACAGAGAATTTACGTGATCTGATTGCATGGGATTAAAGTTGACATGTAACCAATGAGGGGGAAACACCAGTCCTGGGTCGTGTCCAATCACAGGATAATCGCGTGTGCTGCTGGTAATATCTAAGATTGGTTGTTGAGTGCCTGTAAAGAAAACAGGGTCTGAAAGGAAATCTAACTCCGTCACAAAGGCCTCTGTGCGGGGAAGGTAAGTGCCACTGCCTTGGTGATGTTCACCCAGGAACTTCTGTGGGGGAGACGGCATCACTACATGGACAGACGGTGCAGTGCACTGAGGTGGGCGAGGGGCTTGGCAGGGACGGCAAAGGCGCAGGTGACAGAGTGTTGCAGCGGCAACCCTGCTCTCCATCCTGGGTCAGGGATTTGAGAGCACTCATCCCATCATGGTTTCTACCTACATTACTTTCCTACGTAACGATAGACTTCGTTAGGCTGCGTGTGCTTCTGACAGATGCCATCCTAAGCAGGATGTTACCATGTTGCTCATTGCTACCCTGACTCCTGCAAGTACAAGAAATGACCAGGGAAGAAGTGTGTCAAATACAGCAACATAAATGCAGATCCATGTGAGAGATGAGGGAGGAGGTGAGGAAACACTGGGAACTGGCTGCTTACCTCGGGGAGTGGGGCAGCAGCTGGCTGCTGGGTCACTGTTGTAGTCTGGGGTGCTGAGGCCAATGTAAGAAGGAAACGGAGAAAATTTATTAGGTTGGCCAGTGCTGCACAGGACTGTAACTTCACGCGCGCGCGCGCACACACACACACACACACACACACACACACACACACACACACACGTGCACGCACATGTATGCAGAATTCTGGGCAAGATAGCATCCTATTTGAAAGCAGAAGATTCCAGTATTGTTCAGCTGCTCAGTGTCATACTTTCTGGGCTTCCCCTGTAACTGTTGAATATTATCCTTCACATGACATTCTTTCGAGTCACCGGCAACTTTCCTTCCAATCCATTTCAACAGACCACTAAGAAAACTGATCCCTTATCTGCAGCCTGAAGCTTTTCTGTGTTCCACCCCAGTCCCACAGCTGCTTTCAAAATCACCACTTAGAGGCTTAATATTAATTATAACTATTTGACCAATGGCTCAAGCTTATTGCTGGCTAGCTCTTACATTTAAATTAGTCCATTCATATAAGTTTATATTTTATCACAAGGCTCCTGGCTTGTTACCTCACATCTTGCTTCTCTGGCTGCAACTGTTGATTCCCGTGACATTGCCTTCTTTCTCCCTGTATTCAGTTTGGCTTTCCTGAATAAGCTATATTCTGCCCTGCCATAGGCTGAAGCAGCTTTATTCATCAACCAATAAAAGCAGTATATTTTCATAGCACACAGAAGGGCATCCCACATCACTTACCTGAGTACTGAATATGCATCTTGTTCCTAAAGGAGCATGCAGGGAGCTTCCATCCTTGGCTCTCTCCTCGGAGGAACTGGGTTTTCTTGATTCAAGCACATGCCCTGGTCTGGTGTTCAAGTTCTGGAGAGCCTAGGCATAAGCACCAGAGCCCCCACTCCAGTGGGCACGATCAGTTGCTATCACAGCCTCTTGGTTTCCACCTTCCCTTGCATTAGCTTGCAATGTACAACACCCCCCCCCCCCCATGCCTTGCCTCCACTCCAGCTCACCTCTTCCCTCTGCAGCTTTCCTTGGGTTGTTGAAGTAAGAGAAGCTAGGTTTCTTTAAGGGCGTGTCCCCCAAAATGTTAAGACCAAGCAAGATAATTTTCTAAAGTTGCTAGCTCACGCATGCTCTCAGAAACTAGCCTTTGAGACAAAACAGTCTCAGCTGCACTGGTGTCAAATGGAAGCTCACTCGAGGTGCCCTGCCTTGAGGTCCTTTTCGGCAGAGTTGGTCCTATTCCCTCGCCTCTTCTTCTCTGGAGTGTCTCCCAAACAGTGCACTCAAACATGAGTTTTGCTGCCTACATTTTCTCTAGAGACTGATCAAAGCCATCCCTAATATTTTAAACTATAGTTGCCCTTCCCTCAGTTTACCACGAAGTCTGAGAGGCCAGCATTGGAACAGGCTGTTTTCTCAGTCCGTCCACACTGAAATTACATAGTGTTTCTTTGGGTCCAGGTCCTCGAGGATGCACCACACGCTTGGGCATCGAGGAACCGTCTCTTGTTCCGGGAAGCCTTTCCGTGTCTGTAAACTTGCCTTGTCAGCCCGGTGCTTGCACACATTGACTGATTTCACTCAGGGTTTGCCATGACCCAGGCAACTTGGTTCTCAGAACCCTGCATGGGGTAGTGAGGGAATGAAAATGACCAGACACAAGGACACATGTGTGAAGCTGGGGTTAGTGGGGATTCTTCAGCCACTGCCACCACAATGGGGAAGCTCGGCGGGCACAGCAGAGGGAGAGAGGTTAGGTGGTCTCAGAAGGAGGACTCTCTGGGTGAGCATTCTCAGGCTGTGAGCACCTGGGGGAAGGAGCTGCGCTTGCGACTGCACACACTGGGCAGTCACTGATAAGCACTCATTCTGGGACCACTGAGGGGCGTTCTCTCACCTCTCCTCAGTATGACTGATACTAGGACTGACTTTGCCTACTGTCCCATGGGTCTGAGGCCTTCAGTGTGCTGTGCCCATGGTAAAAATCCACATCCACTCTGGACTTCACTTACTTGGGGGCTTCCACTTCCACTCCCTACAAGGATTGATAATGGCTTCCGACTCTCAACTCAAGCAAAGCCTGCAAACTTTGACATCACAGCCATCTACAGAACTCATCCTCTGGAAATCTCGCCTCTCTTTATTCACTGAATATTAACTAAGGTGGTTGACAACAGGAGATGTGTCCCCGTAAGGCACTATGCATCTAGATTGTGCTAACTCTGTCCAATAATTCAGATGAGGTGTTTGCAAACGTACCAACCACCACTTCCTCTGACCATCAGCAAAATTTCCATCTTCCCAAAATGTTGATGGGAAATAACACAAACAGAATCCTAATTGGCTGTTTTATTATAATGCACTTTTTGTCATAGAGGAGATAGTTAAATTAAAAACTAATCACGTGGCCACAATATAGCACTGAGGTCTTGGTTGGGTTTTCCCCTGCTGTGATGGAACATTATGTGAAAATGTCACTTGTGGAGGGAAGGGTTTATTTGGCATATACGTTCACATCACTGTGCAGGAACTCAAACAGGGAGAGAACCTGGAGGCAGGAGCTGATGCAGAGGCCACGGAGCAGAGCTGCTTACTGGCTTGCTCTGTACGGTTTGCTAAATCTGCTTTGGTACAGAACCCAGAACAATCAGCCCAAGAGTGGCAACACCCACAGTGGGCTGAGCACGCCCACAGATCACTAATTAAGAAAATGGCCTACAACTCAATCTTACAGCAACATTTTCTTAATTGAGGCTCCTTCCTTTCTGATGACTCTCGTTTGTGTCGTCTTGACACAAAAACTAGCCAGCACAGGGCCATTGTGGAACACCATGCTTAAAGCCATAAGGGGCTATATATGGAATTCTATCTCAAAAATCCAAGGTCTGAGCATGTATTTCAGCATTAGTGCACTTACCTGCCCTGCACAAAGCTCTGGGCTTGCTCCTCAGCACTGAAAAACAGCAACAACGTCCTTACACTTTAAGTCTTCTGTGCCATAAACTGCCCCAGTCACATGAGTGCGCCTGGGCTTGTCTGGCTTCTCAAGCCTGAGGCTGTCCTGTGATCTTGAAGTTACTTAAGGCCTTAATCTTGAAGTTACTTAAGGCCATGATGTAATCAGGGTGCATTGGACTGAGGTCCAGATAACACACCTTCCTTATCTTGCAGATATTTGAACTCAAGGATGTGGTAGGACTGAAGGAAGGCTGACTGGGTTATCAGCCATTCATACTAGGTAGTTCTTGCATTTGCTCTACTGTGTTCACATCCACAGCCAGCGAACCCCATCCGCAAGGTTTTCATCAAGCTAAGGACACATTGCAGGTAAATCAAGAATATACCACCCCTCTCCAATGGAAAGCAATGCCTATCCCAGATAAGACTGTTGAAGAGAAAAAAAATAAAAAAAATAAATGTAAAATAAACACAGAGATGATCCAAAGTGATTCCTCACAAATTAATTTGTGACGTGATGGGTGTGGGAAAGTCACGTCCAGACCCACGATGTTTGCTTCGGAATATCTGCATCCCTGCCATGGCCTTCAGCTCTCTGTTGAAACTGGCAATGAGATAGTTTCATATCCTGGCTTTTCAGTAACAGAAACAAACTATTTTGTATTACTCTGTCTAAGTGGGCAAAAGCCAGGCGTACATTAGCTCTTGATAATAATATATGCAAATCCCACTCTCTTCAGTAGGCATGATGCTGTCTTGTGTATCTTTTTGGTTGATATTCAATGAGAATAGGGACTCTAGACAAGCTAACAATACAAAAAGGCTGTGGAATCATCCTTCTGTACACTGTGAAATTGTGTTGCTCTCATTGTGATAAGTAGGCAGGATTTTCAGGTCAGAGAGGATGCTGGGAGGAAGGCAGAGTCTCAGGAGTCAGGAGCAGATGCCGAGGGAAGCAAGATGAATGTGCTGTGTTGAAAGAACGTACTGCCATGTGGCAGAGGGTAGATAAGAAATATGGGTTAATTCAAAACGGAAGAGTTACCTAGTAACACACCTGAGCTATCAGCTGAACATCTGGGAGCGGCTGCCGGGACACAGAGAAACTTCACCTACACAAGAAGTTTTCCTACATTCCTCAGAAGGTTCGAATATTGATCCGCTTCCAGCAATAAGCAAAAATGTCCTATATTATTGCAACTGTCTCTAAACACTCAGATTGGGCTCTATTGTTCTTTGCTTTATAGACAGTGCACATCAATATGCTTCTTTGAAAACTCAGGGACGTCAGAGGGTGTGTACCAACGGGAACGGGAGCACTCAGTATCTTAACAGCTGCTGGGTCCAGATGAGGCCCCCCAAGGGTGCCTCTACCTCATCAGGTCACCCAGGGTCTCTGACTCCTGTCCTTGGCATTGGTGCCCAGAATGGAAGCTTCCGTGCTGAAGGTGCAGAGGCCTTTCTATGCCTGTCTTAACTCCACAGCTCATCGTGCATTAGATCTGACAGTTTGGAAGCTGCCAGAGATTTTACTCTCTCAGACTCACAAACCTTTCAGGATAATGACTTTGCATCATAGTTTGTAACTTGCAATTAAACTGTCATTTCTTTTTATACTAATTCCTAGCAGAGTAAGTGAATCACGGAGAACAAATTTCCCATCAGAAGGGTAATTACCACAGCCAGGGTTATACATTCACTTTAGAGTTTTATTTTAAAATAAAAAAAATTTTCATTAGAATATGAAGGTATGTTTTCCATAATACCTCGCTATAACATACATTTGAAATACTTTGTGTCTGTCTATGTGTATGTATGTATGTATGTATGGTGTTTGCATGCTCCAGGACACGTGTGAAGGTCAAAGAATAGCATGCAGGAATCAGTTCTCTCCTTCCACCAAGTGCGTTCGAGGGAAGGAACTCGGGTAGTCAGCTTGGCAGCAAACTCCATATATGCTGAGTCACCCTGCAAGATACACCATACTTTCGAAGCTCAAAATACAGTCTGTACATGGTCCTGAGACATTTTCCACTTCAATGACCTATGTAAAAGACCACAGTAGGAAATTCCTTAGTAACGGTCACTTCAGATGGCACCATGATCTATCCAGGGGTCCTCAGACAGCCACCTTTGTCCCCATGCATGGCCACAGAACTTCTGTGGCCCTCATGCTGCCAACGTTCCCACGTGGAACTGAAAGCGAACCGTCCCATTTGCCTCAGCCTTTTCAAACATTGGGGTCCTCTCAGAGCACAGTTCTGTGAGCAAGGATTTCACTGCCTTAAGTCATGTGCAGGATGGCGATGAACCCTCAACCCCAGCCAGACCCCAAAGGCCCCTCATTCCGTCTCTTAGTACAGAAGATAGTTCAGTGGCCTGTGCTATCTTTAAGGATCATTAAATCAGTCTGACCTTTTAATGAAAAATAAAGATCTCATTCTAAATTAGCAGGCGTTCCTGAAGCCTGGGCAGGCTTCTAATTCTGTACCTCAGTATCCACACCTTGTGAATGATGGCCAAGTGAAGAGCTCTCCCCGCAAGTCTGGTGGCACAGAGGTGCAGTGCTCGAAGGAAGCCCTCATGCAGCAGGGGGTGTTCTTCTGGATCAGTGAACAGGGGTGTGGCTGTGGTTCATTTGACAAAGGCCTCCAGCTGGAAAGCAGAGCACACCCAACGCTTTCAAGGTCACTATACCCTCCTATTGCACACCCAACTCTTTCAATGTCACTAT